TGAACTGAAATATGCCAGCATTTTTCCTACTAAAGACCCCCAGAAAGAATGAAGCCAACTATTAATGGTTTTCACTGCTGATTTAGCTTACAAAAAAATTAATATGGATTATTTTAAGACATTTTTATTTTTATACATTCTTTTTATACAAACAAATATTTAAGTAAATGCTCTGTTTATAATAAACAGTATTAACAACATTTACTGGCCTGAATGTCTGAGAAATTTTCTTGGAAATATTTGTTCTCCAACAGGAATCAAACCTGTATCTTATACGGGATCATCTTATAGCCTGATGTGCCTTAACTGATTGGGCCACAGAGGATCATTTGGTTAGCAAGGTCAATTTTACTGCTTTTAAACTACAATCTTCCATGATTCTCTCATGTACATTCATATTTACTCAATGCGTATCCAAATGTAGACAAATGATGACACACATTATGAAATGGACAAAGTCTGACAATTATTTTAAGACATTTTTATGTTTATACATTCTTTTTATAGATAAAATAATTAAGTAAATGCTCTGTTTATAATAAACAGTATTAATGACATTTACTGGCCTGAATGTCCGAGAAATTTTCATATTATAAACAAAGCATTTACTTAAATATTTGTATCTATAAAAAGAATATATAAACATAAAAATGTCTTAAAATAATTGTTGGACGTTTTTGATTTCATAATATTAGAAACAAAGAAAAGAATACTAGACTGTTATGTAATATTGTTCCTCTTATATAAGAGTGAATGTTGAACAGTCTCCTGATGAATGAAGAAGAGACTAGAGGCAACAGAAATCTGATCCTAAGGAAGAATGCGGAGAATGCCATGGAAGAAAGATGTAAATAACAAAGGATTTTTAAGGAAAAAGATGATTATACTTAGAATCAGAAAGAGGTAGTTGAAGTTTCTGGTTGAAATAATGAGTAAAGATAAGAAGATAAAAGCATAGAAGAAGTCAGTAACTAAGAATGAAACATCTTAAGGAAAGAACTACTGACATCAATAAAAGGGATTGTTCTAAGGGAAAAGAGACAAGAAAAAAGAAAGTGGATATATATTTAAACATTAGACCAGAAAAATCGAGCTGGAATTTCAATGGATTCTTCATCTTCTCTCCCCAAAACATGTGTCAAAATTGGCTAAGAAATTCAGTTCAGTTATGTGTCATGCATGATACACGCTTAGGTGATCATCTATCTTTTGATACATGACTGAGGAGGCAGACCAGTTGCCCTCCAATGCTATAGAACCTGGTCTGTCCTACTATTTACCCATAGTCAATTGCTCATTGACAATAATGTCAATGTTAGAAAGAAGCTAATCCATAGTTCAGAACTTAACCTTGGAAAGATCTAAAGATATAGATAACAGTGAGGAAGTCTTCCTGGCTTTAGCAAAAGTGTTGGGGGCCCAGATTGCTATTGACAATTATTAGAACCTAGTAATGAAATGTATATTTTTTTCTCTGTATTCCTCATGCATTGCTTCATCTTTCTGAAGGTTCAGATGCAGCAGTAATGGTTTCGAGTTCTTGGCTTTCTTTGTATTATTGTCGAAGTATGAACACTTTGGAGTATATATATTAGTAACATTTTATACATTAGTATAATTTATCAATAACAAAATATTATGCTAGTATACACTCACTCACTCACACACACACACATATATATATATCGGAGAATATAATATATAAATTTCTTTATATCAAAACAATGACATGTAACGTAATGATAAAGGGGAAAAATTCATTGTAATGTATTTTTTACTCTAAAACAAATATCATCAGATTAAATTAATGTTGATATTACTAATGACAAAATAATATATATGAAGGAGGAGGAGGGGAATATATATAAACAATGTTTGTGTTTATGTTTATATTCCACTTACATATATATAATTCAATCAATAACATTATTTTAGTTCAATGAAGTCGTTTTAGAGGATAAAATGCGTTACACAGAATTTTTCCACTTTGTCAGTCAGTGAACTAACACACACACACACACACACACACACACACATATATATATATATATATATATATATATATATATATATATATATATATATATATACACACAAAATCTATGTTAAATAAGCTGGAAAATTACCATGCCAAGGATGTATATATAAAAAGTGTTCAATGAAACCTGGCTTGTACAGAAGAGTGAAATAATTTCATCTTTTTATATATATATATATATATATATATATATTTGTATTTGTGTGTATGTGTGTGTGTGTGTGTGTGTGCATGCATGAGTGTATATATATATATATATATATATATATATATATATATATATATACAAAAGTTTGGGCCTCCCCGCATTTCTTTAGAAATACCTTAAAATGAGATATTTTTTGTATTTTGTTAAGTAAAAGATAATATTTCAGTAACAACAGTGTATTTGCTTTGATTTTAATCAAAACTAAGCACTTAACTATAAAAGATTATCATACAACAGCATCATATTTTGTTTTTATCAATAAAAGCACTATCTGCCTTAATTACAGCTTTACAAATTATAGGCATTAAAAAAAAGTAGATGGCAGACCTTCCCAGGTATTCTTCATGCACTGAAAAAGCTCACACTCACTTTTTGGGTATTCTTTTTTGAAATTTCCTATCCAGTTGATACCTTATGAATTCAATGGGAGAGAGGTCAGAAGATTGAGGCATCCAATCATAATTCTCAAAATTTTCATTCTTTTTTTTAACTCAAGGCAATGTTGACATAATTTAGAAGAATGTTTTGTATTGTTGTCTTTTTGAAAGGTGATTTTTTCCATTTATATGTAAACCAGATGGTATAGCATTTCTTTGTAAAATTGAACTATATTTTTCTTTTTTAATGATTCCCTGTACCTGAATCCAATATCTAGCCATCACACCCCACGCAAACATCTCCACACCATGAAATACCAACCAGCATGATTAACTGTTTGAACCACACATTCATTATTCAATCTTTTTCTTGGTTTTCTTCTCATATATGCTTTCCTCTTACTACCAGAATTTCAAATTTGTCCTTATCTGTTCATAATGTAATTTGCCACTCGTTCTAATTCTTTTTTGCCCATAACAGTCTTTACTGCATATTCACCTTCCATAACAGGGGTTTCTTGATGACTATAAAACTCCTGAACACTGCTGATTGATGTAAGTCAATTTTTCATAGTTGAGAGTGGCACTGGTTACTGTTGATGAGGAATTAAGTTCAGCTATCAACTCTGGAGCAGTGTTCCTTCTATTTCTTTTGCTCTTAACCCTAGAAACACAAACCATCAATTAAAGTTACACCACTACTAACTATGGGTATCTCATACCTGATTTTGAAAATATCAAAACAAATATTAAATATAAATCTTTATTTGAAATATTTTACATGCAAGCACTTCAAACTTTGTACTTTTAGTTAACATTAATAGGAACTGAAAAACATATTATTTAGGTAAGAAAGTCAGGTACTGAAAATTGTAATTAAAAATAGGAAAATTTGTGCTGTGTACTATATACCCATTGTTAGTGTTTTAAGGTTAATAATCAAGTGATTATATTCTGCATCAGTTGTTACTTTTAGTGCTTCAGGTCTTTTTATCTCAACATTTGCATCAGTTTCTAACTGACTTTATAATAAATATTGCAACCCCTGTCTAGAAATCTTTAACTTCTTGTCAATCTGTCTTTGAGAGAAGCCTTCTTGGAATAAAATTTCAATTTGTGGTCTCACCTCCATGCTTAGCTACTTTGATTCTGCCATTTTGTGCAAATTACTTCAAAATTAAAAAATAAATTAAAAAAAACTATTAAAACACTGTTTTCATTAAAACAGAGACATCTCAATATGTTTTACATTTAGAATGTGTATTAATATTTAACTTAGTCGAAGATTTTGGTAATCTCAAAATGTCAACTGAGGAGTTAATAGTGAAAACAAAATATAACGTTTCTTGTACAAAATATTCATAATTTAGCAGAATGTATTGTGGACAGATGAATCCAATTTTAACTTTTTGGTAGTAAGAGGAGCCTGAAAAATAAAATTAAGTACAATCTAGCAAATGAAATTTCATCTTTAAAAAATTTAGGTGTATTAAAAATTTAATATTATTAAATTTTATCTTAAAAAAAATAGCAGCATATCAACCTCTATGGGTTATTTAATGCCAAAAATCTAAATATTTTGAACAATTTTATGGCTTCAACTACAGATAAAATGTATTGGTGGTCATTTTACTATAAAATTGCTATAAAATGTATTGTTTGTAATTTTGCCTTAAAAATGTATTGTTTGTAATTTTGCCTTAAAAATGTATTGTTGGTAATTTTACTATAAATATCTATGGTTGGTAATTTTTTATATAAAAATATATTTTACTATAAAAATATATTTTTATAGTTTCATAGTGTTTTGTTCATATGGGGGAGGATCACTATTTGCCCATAGCTGAGACCCTTTCAGGTTCTACCACCCAGGGTCAGGATAGACCTGTGAACAACAGCAGTTAATAGGTGTTTCTATTCTCCTCAAACCTCCAATCTCCCATTCAGAAGCCTTGCTTGCTGGATGTAGTTTATTGCCATACCCAAGACTAGCATTGTGACAGTAACAACAAAGATGAATATATTAGTCTGAATGTAAATAAATTATATAATGGCACATCCTCAGCCAAGAAATTGAGATAGAAAGCTTTAACAAGTACAAAGATGTATATTCTATGATCTCACTTCTGGTTGACGACTGTAGACATTTTTGTTTTATTGAATACCATATCTGGTAAAAGTAATTGAATCATCAAAATTCTATACCTGGTTTAATGTTTTCAACATACATTACATTACCTAAAATTTCATTTTTTTAAAATTCTTTCCTTTATTCAGTTTTGAATATTTAGTTTTTTGCACATCTTATCTCAAAATCCTCAAGTGTTAATGCATAAATAGAAAAACTCAAAATCTGCTAAAATTTTCTCTTTTTTAGTTTGTCAATTTTTCAAAAATATTTGTCTCTTCTGTTCATAACCAATATCTGTCCAGTATTTTTATCTCATTTTCATAATCTGTTATTTTTCTTTCTTCTTTCAACTCTTTCTTTTCATCTGTTAATTTTTTTTACCAATCCGCTTTTTGCTTCATCATCACATCCAAGTAGTAAGCTTTATTAAAAAAAAATATCTTTATGATATACAGTTGTCATGGTTAGTTGAACGTTTTTGTCACCTCTGGTTTTCTTTTTTTCTTAATTTCTTTTCTTCTTTTTATTAACTCCTTACTGCTTTCATTTTTCTTTACAGGCTCCTTTTTTTTCACACATTCCAGATAATCCTAAACAAATCCTTCAATTCTTCCTACAAGCTTTCTCTTTCTTTTTATATCTTTCAGTCCACTCTTTTTCAGATTTTGTTTTTATTATCTGTCACTTATTGTCTATTTTTTGATTTTTCTGTCTACTTATATGTCTTCTTCTCTGATATTTTTTCCAACTCAAATCATTTTTCAATCCACATAATCCCAAATAAATTTCCTTTTGGTTTTTTATCACTTTTTTACTTCATGATTCGTATCTTTGCTAGTTTTTGTTTCATTTCTTAACACTTTGTTTCTAACCAATTTTTGGTAAATCCTTTCTTTTCATTTCTTCTGCTTATTCTGTGCAAATTCTATGAAATTTTAGAATCCACTTTTCCATTTTATTCTTTTTCATTACATTCATTTCTTTCTTTCACTGGGACTTTTTTTATTATTTCTTTATTTTCTGTTTTTGTAACTGTTCATTTCTTTTTTAGATCCATTACTTTCTTTTTTCTTTCTTTCTTTCTTTCTTTCTTTCTTTCTTTCTTTCTTTCTTTCTATTGTTGTAGCCTTTTTGTTCGTTCTTCATTTTCTGTTTTTGGAACTGATGTAATGAATATGCATACACCTGGGTTCCCCCTCACAGTAATATGATTGGCTGGTGTCAGCCATAAATACAGACTGATGTGGATGCCTATGGACTACAACTATTGTCTTTGCCTATGGACTATGCCTATTGTCTTCGCCTATTGCCTACACCTATTGCCTACCACTACGATGAGGACCAGTCCACTACGGTTACCTGCTAGATCGTCCTACCTGGTTAGAGTAGTCAGCAACCACTTTGCTACTTCAACAAATATATACCTTTCCGGCACATTTCAGGAACCTTACCTTTCTTTCTTTGTGTCCATTAATTTCTTTCTTTCTTTCTTTCTTTCTTTCTTTCTTTCTTTCTTTCTTTTCTGACACATATCATTCTTTCTTTCTTATCTGATGCATATCTTTCTTTCTTTCTTTCTTTCTTTCTTTCATTCTTTTTTCTGATACATATCTTTCTTTTTTCTTTCTTTTTTCTTTCTTTCTTTTTTTTACTTGAAAACTTTTTATTCTTTCTTGACTATCTGTTTTTGGAATCTTTCCTGTTTTAATTTCTTTCTTTCTTTTATTTCAAACACATATCTTTGTTTGTTTGTTTCTTTCTTTTCTGATTCATATCTTTGTTTGTTTCTTTCTTTCTTTTAGTTGAAAACATTTTGTTCTTTCTAGACTTTCTGTTTTTAGCACCTTTCCTTTCTTTCTTTTGGTCCATTAAATTCTTTTTCTTTCATTTCCAACGCATATTTTTCTTTCTTTCTTTCTTTCTTTCTTTCATCTTTTCATTTTTCCTTTCTTGCATTTTTTTCTTTCTTTCTTTCTTTCATTTCCAACGCATATTTTTCTTTCTGTCTTTCATTTCCAACGCATATTTTTCTTTCTGTCTTTCATTTCCAACGCATATTTTTCTTTCTTTCTTTCTTTCTTTCTTTCTTTCTTTCTTTCTTTCTTTCTTTCTTTCTTTCTTTTCCAACATGTATATCTTTATTTCTTTCTTTCTTTCAAATTCCTTGATTTTCTTTCTGTCTTATTTCATTTCTTTTCATGTGTCTCCTATTTGCATCCACTTTCTATCTCATTCAATTCTTCCTCTCGCTTTATTTCTTTTCATTTTCCTTATTCATGCATTGATTACTTTAAACTTAATATAGTGTCCTGCTTTTCTCACAGAAGCTGAATGACTTTTTCTTTCACAGTTTGTGTCTTTCATTTCTAGTTAATTCCCTATTAAAACTTTCTTTTTTATTTTTGTTTGCTCTTGCCAAACTTTATACTCGTTCTCCTCTTCTCTACTTGCATTCTACATTTTTTCTTTTACATGCTGATTCCATCTTCTTTTCATTCTTGACTAATCTAAACTTCTTTACCTTATTATTTCCTTTTTCTCAATCCATCCTTTCTCCTCCAATATCTCTCTTTTTTCTGATCCTTCCTTTCTCCATTCCTTATCTTCTCTTTTCCTGATTCTTTCTTCCTCCCCATTGTCTTATTTTTCTTAGACTTCCTTTCTCCCCCATTATGTCTTCTGATGTTTTCTTCCTCCCCTAAGTATTTCCTATTTTTCTAATCCTTTCTTCCTCATTTCATTATGTCCTCTTTTAGATCCTTCCTTTCTCTCCTTTAATTATTTACTTTTTTATCCTTTCTTCCATTTTACATTATGTCCTATTTTATAGATCCTTCTTTTCTCTCCCCTAATTATTTCCTTTTGTTATTCCTCTTTTTCATTATGTCCTCTTTTAGATCCTTCCTTTCTCTCCTTTAATTATTTCCTTTTTTTTATCCTTTCTTCCACTTTACATTATGTCCTATTTTGCAGATCCTTCTTTTCTCTCCCTTAATTATTTCCCCTTTTTCTAATTCTTTCTTCCTCTTTTTATTATGTTCTATTTTACAGATCCTTTCTTCCTCCCCAAATTATTTTCCCTTTTTTTCTGATGATTTCTTCCTCCCTTCATTATGTTCTACTTTACAGATCCTTCCTTTCTCTCCCCTAATTATTTCCTCTTTTTCTAATTCTTCCTTTCTCCCCTCACTATGTCCTCTGTCTTTCTGATTCTTCCTTCTTTTTTACTTCCTTTTTGTCTAACTTTTTCTCCCCATTACTTTATATTTTTGTGATTATTTTAATCTACTGTTAATTCTTACTTTAAATTTATCCTTTTTTCTTTACTTCCAATTCATTCTTTCAAAAATTATTTCTTTTCATTTCTTTCCATTTTTTTCATTTTTCCTTTACTTTCCCTACTGCACTTTCTCTCATTTTTTTCAGCCACTTAAACCTTTTTCTCTTTGCCATATTTCATTCACATTTGTTGACTTTTCATCATTTTCATCTTTTACATTATTTAATCCATTTCTTTTTAAATTGAACCTTTTCTTTCTGTACATATATTTGTTCCTTTCTTTCATGTTAATCTCTTTTCCTGTTTTTCTTTCTTGCACATCTTTTCTTTCCTTTAGTTCTTTTTTCTCTTTTCCTTCTTATTTATCTCCTTGTCTTTTCTTCTTTCTTCTAAATCCCTTTTTAGTCTTTAGTTTCTTACATATCATGTCATTCTTTTCTTTCTTGTACATTTTCTTCTTTAACATCTTTATTTCATTCTCTTTTTCTCTCTCTTTTTCTCTCTCTTTTCCTGTTCTTTAGAAAATACTCTTTCTTTCTTTTTTCTCTTCTACTCTTTCTCTTTATTCTATTCTATTTCTCTGTTCCACTTCTTATTTTCCACCCTTTCCTTCCAGAGATTATTGTCATCTTTTATTCTTTTATAAGCTCAGCTGAGCAGCTTAGACTGAATAGAGCAAATTGCTACTTATCATGGATTTGTCAGCTGTTTTCAAAGCTTAAAAGAGAATAAAGATGCAGAATTGCAGATGGAAATGGTGAGACTCAAGATTAAACAAAATATAACACTACCAAAGTACAATAGTACTTTAGCAGTAAATAAATACAAAAATATTTGCACAGCTTGGGTGACTCTAATGTATGAATGGAGAGGTCAGAGAATCTTTTGTCAGGCTTTTGTGGCTTCAACATATGTTTTTCATTATATTTGATGAGACTCGTTTCATGACGAACTTTTATTAGAATAACAAATGTCTTGTGACAGACTGTACTTTTATATTATATGTTAAAAAACTCAATGTTTTTGTAAAAAGAGACCTTTCTGGGGAAAAAAAACAAACACCAAATCATTTTCAAACATTAGGAGTATAACAAGGAGGCAACCACAACATACTACAAAACAAAACTATTAACCTCTAGGCATGTTTTTAAATAGTCTCGTCAGATCTAGAATATCATATAGATATGATGCATAATATCCAACTCATTCAGAAATGTCTAAACTATTATCTATATACAACTGTTTTCTGAGATGTGTCATATCCTTTCAGGACTTAGGTGATCGTGGCTCTCCACCACATTCCATCCCTTGCAAGTCTCAGCAAGTTCCTTCCCTCTGATTCCTCCCCACAGACCACCTTCTGTAATCCACCTGCTCAAGCTCACCAGGTATGTCAACGCACTGCTTTACCTTGTCTCTCTATCCCTCTATTCGACCCGTGAGTATCAGATTCTCCAGACCCTCCTTCCTCATTATGTGTCCCCAAAACTTCAGCTACTTCTTTCTGATGTTAAGTATAAGACTTCTCCTTGTTTGTAACCTCCCTAAGACCTCATCATTGCTCAGTCCATGATATCCTTAGCATCCTCCTGTAGAACCACATCTCCTTCATCTCAAGTCTCTTCTTCATCTTTGAGGAAATCATCCAACATTCGCTGCCATAAAGGAAGACAGATGGCATGTAACAGCTAAGTATTCATTTCCATGTTACCAAAGAAATTCTCCTGTCTCACAATACTCTGCCCAGCTTTTGAAATGCATCCTTGAATGATTTAAAATGGCTTCAAGTGAGTGAACTCTGTCAGTTGTAACCAAGACATTCATTCATCATAACCTAGTTCTACAGAATTACAAGGAACTTTACCAAATAACAAAAACCACATCACTTGAAAAATTAAGATGAGGACTTTTCACACTGTGTTCAACAAAAGATGAAGATGGAAACTGCCATCAATACTAGAAATAGTGTTAAGATTTACACATGTGAAACCTCGAAGAATGTTATTAACTTTTTATTAAATTTTTATTACTTTATGTTTCCTTGTGAGATTAAGTGGATGTAAGAAACTTATTTTATCAAAGAACTTTATTAAGAGAAAGACTTTGGGAATTGCAACTGACTGTACTTCTAACTGCTCAGTTATTGTATGGTTAATGAACACTTTATGTTTCCTTGTAAAGAAATGGTTAATCCCATTAAAAATATGACCATATATTAAGTATTTATAGCACCCAAAAGGGTTATGGGTCTCTTATAATAGTCCCATAAATGGTCATATTTTTTATGAAAATTGTCTTTTTTATGGTTCTGAGAGAGGCTGGTTTATATTTTAATTAAAGTAATGGTATTTATTTTATTTTTTACGAAATTCAGTAACTTTCTAGCTTCTTTTAAATGGAGAGTGAATTATGGTTTTTCTAAAATGCAGACTCTTTGAGTACCTACATTCAGATTAATATCCTCCCCAGTGACATTATCATGTCTCGACAGATGTGCCCATTGGTCTTCTTCAGGAGGTTGTTGATCTTATTTTTTTGCACAGTCATTGTTTACCATATTTCCACTAAGTCAATACTATACAGCCCAGATATTAAACTCACAATTACGATGACACTGTATCCATAAACCAATGCTTTAATGTACTGTACTTATTCCTACCTACATTAGGTTGTCAATCATCAACTATAATAATATATTGTGTAGGGGAGATAACAAAGGATAGGAAACTGTTGAGATCCATGATCATCAAAGACATGGCACATAAAAGATGAAGATCTGCTTATATATATTTATTTTTTGTCGGTAAATGGTTTGTTAACAAATAATGTAAACTCATCTTCTTCAGCTAATTTGGAAAATTAAAAAATAATATTTTCTAAATATCAGACATTAATAAAGTTTTCAGTACATATGTAGTAGAATACAAGGATTCTTTTAAGATAAGCTTTGAATCAAAATTTTCAAGATAAAATGTATTTTTTGTTACATTTTTATCTTATGATGACCAATGAACCTTTTTAAAAAGTAATAGGTAAGAACATTTATTTTAAAAATAATTTTATCAAGATTTATATTTCATTTACCTTTATTTCAAAAATTGATATTTGATTATAAAACAGAAATTTTACATGTTCGTACAGTTTAAACTGTACGAACATGTAAAATTTCTGTTTTATAATCAAATATCAATTTTTGAAATGGGTAAATTAATGTTGATGTTGGTCTTGAACAATTTCTCTTATTTGCTTCTTGTATTTTTATGAATATTCACTA